ATCACCTACCAAACCAGGAAGGAATTGTTCTCAAAGAACTACTCAGCATTTCCATTTTATGGAACGAGACTACATCAAGAGAGTCATCAGAGCAAAGAACTGGTCTCTGCTTTTATGTATACCTAAAGTAATGCAGAGGTAACTCCTTTTTATTTAATAACAGCAGCAGCAACATAAGTGGAGCTGCTGCCAATTTATACCAGTGTGGGATGAAGAAGAATTCAATGAACTCAAATGAGATCAGAGGTCAGTAGAATTACCTCTTGATTTATTTTGATGCAAGAGCAGGAACTGGTTCTGCCTCCATTGAGAAAATGCTGATAAAAAGCTGAAAATGCAATGGCTTAGAAATTGCTAAGAAATTAATTGTTTTTATCCATCCAAATCTCTGTGTACATGAGCAAAGTCTAAAGAAAAAAAAAACAAACCTCTCAAAGCAGGCTATTACCCGTTCCTTGCACGCTTTCAAAGGCTGCACACCAGAGAAAGGACAAAGGCCAAAGATCCACATTTACACGTGGGTTAACTTTTCAATCCATTTTTTCATTTCAATAGAAATAATAAATCACCTTATCCTGGAGAAAGAAGCAGCTTGACACAAAACATACGGTGCTGGGCTATTTTTATAGCACACCTAAGACGTATAGGGATTCATTTATTTACTCAGCTATTTAAAAGTGGCTACTCTTACTCATTCTCTGGACAGCTAAATGCCAGGTTGCTAAGTTACTGTTACTTGACATCATCTCCTCCCCAACGTGTTCCCACATTTGACAGGTTCACATGATTTACTAGGCCAGTCAGCTCGTTATTCACTTGTCCAATGACGTCTGGATAATCATTTTAAATTCACATCATGTCCTCCCCAGCAAGCCCCCAGACTCCACATGAAAATATTTAAACTGCCCGTCAGCTACTAAGTGCATTTGTAACCACGCTGGACAGCATACCTGTATTTTTCAAATTACAATTATTGTTATTAGGTTTAGCATCATTCTTCACTGTTGGTTTGCATTTTAGAAGAGAAAACAATTACTGAGGGGCAAATAATGGGCTATATCTGTTACAGTCTAATTTTGCCATGTGAACAGCTCACTTCAGCTATGGATGAGACATATTAAATCTGTTAGTGCTTTCAATTGGTGTGAGGAAGGTAATGCTACACATAATTTGTCCAGTCAAGGGCATTTTCACCTGCTGATCAATTTACATATTCTCCAATGTCATTAGTCACCAGAAGACAACCATAAAAATTACAGACTTGGCTTATTTAACTCCAGTCATTTTTATACTTATTACAATCTGAATTATATTTAGGATTTGTTTTGCTTCCAGACTAGAAAGCCTTTAATTAATATCACAGCTGTCCACATAACATCAGAAATCCATCTAGCTACTTGATGCCTTACTACAGTGAATATGCATCTACAAGAATTCTTTTGTTCCTCTAAGCAGGGACAGATTTCCAGACAGAAGTGCCTGCCCAGATGGTTAGAACACAGACAGGAAAGCTGTCTGTGTACAGACCAGAGCCTCACTTCTGCAGGATTACATCTAATCGATTGACTAAACACCCAGCCCAAAGTTTCAATTTACACTACGAGTCCTCCAGAAGATTCAGTTAAATAAAATTTCCTTTCTTTCCTGGGAGATATTGTATGTATGCTTATCAACTCTTCACCCAGAGGTAAACCAATGCTAAGGAAGGTCCCTTCTGTGCACTCTACAGGCAGGAAAAGGATCGCTGCTTGTTCACCCCCAATGTCACCCACATACCCCCCTATGCCTGGGTCAGCACATGGTTCACATCACATGCAGTGACAGCAAGGCATGCTGATGTAAAGCACTGGTACAAGTGGCACAAGTAACAGCTTTGGAGACTGGTTTTAAATGTCAGTTCTTCCACCCCATCTGCACTTCGTATCACAACATTTCAATGAACTCATTTTTCAGTGGCTGCACATAGCAAGTGACAATTTAAATCCATATTAATAAAATGTGAATTACACACACATACTTTTAATTGCCTGTCTTCCACGTTATCCACGCTTAAGACCATTACATTGGTTTAAAAAAAAGACAAACACATTTTGGGACAGAAAAAAGTGTACTGACCACCGGTGTACTTGCCTTCATCTTTCAACTCTGTATTAGCAACCTGTATGAAATGCAAATCTGTACTATCATCAACTTTGGCCTTAGTTGTACATGAGATGCTGCTGCTGATTATTATTATTTTATTGTTGTTGTTTTCACGACCTTCTCAGTCAGCCTGGTTAGAAAAGTAAAATCAACAGGAGACTGGTCTGCCATTAACCTTTGGTTGTGGTATTGGGAGCAGTCCTTAGAGCATTTACACAGGATGACATAAGTAGCTAAGTGTTTCAGGAAATCTAAAGGACTGTGAAATTTTGTCTCTAAAGACTCAGGGTTCTGAGCGGAGTCAAGACCTTTCCCCTCACTCGGTTGAAAATTTATGAATATAAACTCAATTAAACCTTTTTTTCCAGATTAAAAAAAAAGGAAGACAGATTAGGAATTGCAAACCTCTACAATTACAAAAACCATTAATCAAGTTCAGTTTAAAAAAAAAGAGCTGTGTAAAATCAGGGGTCATAGATCTTAGCGTGAATACCTCTTTCCTGTAAAGCCTAGTAAAAAACCCCTCCAGAGTAATTGTGTCTTTCTGAGGGGTGAAACTAAGCCACCTTATTCCTCAACTTAAAAAACAACAAAACAAAACCAAACCCCAACAAACAGAAAAAAAGCCAACTTCAAGGCATGCAGTGCTCCAAGAGAGAGCACCTCTGGCCCTTTGGGGTGCACGGCTAAGCAGAGGGCACAGCCCAGAGCAGATGCTGCCAGTGGTTTCCTTGGTCAAAACTCACAGTTAAAGCCCAGCTCTCCATCTTCAGGACCTGACTGTCGTGGAAACCTTTGTCTCTGCAACATCCCTGACAGAACAGCAATGGTAATAAACTATTTTTTTTTTTTACCTGGGGAAGCTGAGACCCACACTCCCCAAAGTTCTTCAGAGCCTATGTAAATGGCTCCAAAAGGCCAGAAAGTACCTGTCAGGGCTGGGAGCTTAATCCAGGTTCTCAAAGTTCAAATCTCTGCTGAAACCAAGGGCCATTCTTTCACCTGGAGCAGACAGCCTGAATTTCCTGACACAGGGCTTCCATGGGGAGCCTGAGGACTGGATTTTGACCCATTCTCAGTCAGATGGGGCTGGGTTAGCCAGGTCTTTGCTGGGCATCTGCAGCCAGCAGTTAGAAAGATCTGCTGGTTTGCATCTTTTTTTCAGATGCCCATTACCTGTCCCTGTGAAAGATATTCCCAGAGACATGTAATCCCTGCCAAATCCCTGCTCTGTCCACCCCAAGAGCCCTCCCCTGAGTTTAATGGCCAACGAGTGGCAGGAGTGGGGATTCTGCAGTTGATCCCCATCCTCTGAAGGCAACAGCAAGTCCTGCTCCACTCTTGGCATGCTTCAGAAGGAAGCCTGGGACATTTTGCTTGTTTCTTGACTCAGATTACAGTCATGGGGGAGGAAATAGGATCAGCTCCTCTTGATTAGAAAAAAAAGACATTTCTGCTTCCTGTGATTTATATGCACTGTTCTCCATTAAAACTGTCACCTGGATGATTGATCCCTGAAATCCACCACATCACATTTTCTTTTGATGCTGTTTACTGAAAACAACTGCTTTCCCCAGCCAACAAGTCATTCATTCCAAATATAGTAATGAACCTAATTGAAATATATAAACAAGGGAAGAAGACATTTAAAATATATCAAGTATTTCACACAGCCTTTCAACATTTCCTCTGCATTTTCTCCCTTAGTGTTCTTTAGGTAATAAACCCCTGCTCACTTTGAAGGTTGAAAGTAAATGTTATTTATTTCCTTGCACTCACTGCTCCTGGGTGCACATGCAGATACTCCTGTGTTACTGCACGTCTGCACATGAATGCTTTCCTGCTGCTTCCACAAACTTCTGCAGCAACACTGCCAACCCATAAAGACATCTCTGTCAGCCCCAGACAATGTGTGTACACAAACCAGGAGCAAGTTTCCCAAACTATTTAACTCTGGATTACAATGGATACTGGGAAGCTTATTTTATTTTATAAGCAAGAGTCCATGTCTTTGCAAGGAAGTTGGCATGACTGTTACACACAATTTCAGGTCTGGATTAGTCTGCTGCACTAGCTCCTAGTAATAAGGACATGGTCAGCAGAAATTCCCATTGAAATTTTATCCCTTCTACACCAAAAACCAGCAGGGTGCCTGGCAATCCCAGGGAGGTAGCTCTGACACATGGGAAATTCAACCCGTGAGGATAAAAACCTAAATCCCAAAAAGGCACTGGTGGGTTGCAAAACTACCCCCAGTCAAATCCCATTGCTAAGAGAGAAACCCAAAGTTGGGTGTCTGAGGAAAAGCCCATCTTACATTTAAAGTAAGGCATACGACTTGTTGTCCACACTCCCCTTTCTCTTGTTACACAATCTTGTTGAAATTAAGCCATGCCTAGTTTGGAGTTGTAATTTTCTGTATTCAACCACTGACCAGAGATCCCAGAAAAAATGTCTGTAAGTTTTTAACAAAACCATGAATGATGAGCAACTGTAGTCTGAGGGGAGGAGGAAGACTGTAGGTCAGTTTGTGAACAGGAGAATGAAGGCAGCTACACATCAGGGTAGGAGAGAAATGTGTCCTGGATAGACTCACAGAGACTGGGAGCTTAACAAAGAACAGGAACGTGTGTAAATCCTGACTGAGACAAGCTGGCAGATGCAGAATATTAGGTGAACTGATCTTAGTCAGAGAACTCCAGGCCTACTACTTGGCTGTATCTCTTTAATACAGACCCACTGACATGCTATTATTTAACTACAGTGTTAAAGACAGCCCTACAAACCCTCTCCTTGAAAGATGAAATAACAGCATTAAAATTTATACAAAAGATAAAAATGCAAAGGGTATTACTCACCCGCAGTATTTCTTCCACACAACTGGAGTCATTGGGAAGGGTAACCTAAGTTTAAAGAACAAAAAAAAGAAATGTTTAGTCAGGTGCTGGATGCAAAGTTCAGTGACTACAACCACACAGGTGAACAGCCAACAAGCAACTGCCTCTGTTTGAAGACTGCTGTATCCACGCTTGCTGCCTACCAAATTTTCCAGTTCAGATCAACATAAATCATCAGCAGGACCCACTTTGTCAAAAGTTGTTTTTCTCTTGCACACTGCTTTGTGCTACTAACGACACTTTTGAAGCAATAAAGTACTCTGATTTCCTCACAGTTGAGAACTGGCACTAGAATTGCCTGAAACTTCTGTAATTGAAGAAGATCCCACTGTTACTCCCATCGGCAGCCTTCAGAGAGAAGGAGAGGTTTGGTTTAACTTGCCACATGCTGCAGCGAAGGACAGAGGTGATAACAGTTAGGAGAAAGCTGTTATCATCAACTATCTTATCCTACAGCTTAATAGGCTAACAGCCCAGACAGCTCTTAAAACTTAAACATATACTGTAGTAAAATACTGGTTGGACTATAAGGGTGGTTGCTGATTTTGTTGTCCCTCACTTCATCAGCCTGTTGCAGGTTAAGTATCCTCTGAAGCCTGCACAGCACACAGGAATCCACCTCGAGAGGCTTGACAGCTACTCCTTTTCCCCTTAAAAAGGTGCAATATATCTATGTACACAGCCATACCCACGCACACACATGGTGGTGCTACTAATATATTCCAACTGAAAACACTTGTTAAATGGTATTTACAGCATTTGTCACAATCCCCCATTCCAAGGGCGTGAAAGAGCACAAAACTTTTAAATACTGTGAACAATTACAGAAAGAACAGGTAGACATGACCTGTATGTACAATCATTCTGCAGCAATTGCAGACAGCTGTGATGGGCTCTTATCACGGGGGAAAAGCAGAAGAGGAAGAGACAATATTCAGGAAGACACCAAAACATAGGTAAGTCCTTTGTGCCATAAATATTCAGTGAGACTTTTCTGCCTGAAGCTTCTACCTTACTGCCCTTATTAACTAGTTTGGTAAAAGATACTCATGACTAAATTTAATCCCTGTCATCCTTATCTGCTGTAGAGCTTGACCAAAAGCACTGACCATGGCCTTCCACCTATATTTCAGCCAGTACTAAGCTTCAGGAATAAATCCACACAGCTACAGAAGTCAAAGACCACAAAGACCTATTAGATCACCAAGTTTGTGCTCTGCTAATGTAGCACACTTCCCCTGTATTTCCTAGTACTATGGCCAGTCTGACCCAAATAACTGTAGGCAAATGGGTCTCCCATCCCTTCCCTTAATAAAATATGTAGCAGTGTTGTAAACTATTTGGTACTTTATGAGCATAATGGTTAAAATTTTGCTTTCAGTGTCACCTCAGCCTTTCTCCTCCCACTACTTGAAAGTAATTCATTACTTCCCTTCACATTTGCACAGACATGCAGAATTATACTCCACTTTTCTCAAATGCTGTATGTTCAACTTTTACCTTCTTTCTTGATAAACAACATTTTCCTCCCCTTTGGCTTATTTCATCACAGTTCTCTAAATTCCCAACAGTTCACCAGTATCTTGGTAAAGAATTACCCAAGTGAATATGACTACACTGCAGGGGTATTAGCGATTTTTATCTACTATAGATTACAATTTTCCATAATATCACTTTAAACAACCAAAAAAAGAGCCTTACCTTTTGTCCCCAGTTTCTACTCAGCTCAAATCCCATACCAAACCTAGGCTGAGAACTGCCAGTGGATGCTCAGCATGAACTGCAACAGGCATGCAGTCCACATTCACACCGCATGACCTGGACTTCGTTGGATCTCCTTCATCTCCCTACTTTTCACTTAAATCACTGCTTTCCCCCTCAATACAATTCTTTGCTAATCTGTGTTTTCCATTCCTCATACCAGCTGCCCATTCAGTGAGGAATACAGTTAATCAAAAGGTTAGCAAGCAGGGGTATTGCTGCAATGTGCAGTGGGACACTGGGAGTACATGTGTCTCTAATACACGCCTCATTTTTTTCATTGAAAAATTAGTGTGTTGGAATATGACAAAACAAAACAAATACTCTCCCAATAAGCTTACAGTGTACACAACAACCACAAAATTTCTCACAGCAGTAACAGGAGCAGCCCAAAAGTCAGCTGAGTGAGTCAGACTGGGAAGAGTGAGAGCAGCAGAGATACAGAAGCCCTCTCCTTATTTAACATCCCTCCCTCCCATTGCACATGCCAGCTCTAATGGTTAGCCAAGGTACCATGTGTATTCCTTTGTTCAGAAGAATGATGACTGTGTACTTGGCTATTAATACAGGGCAGACCATGTTCTTACTTGTCTCACAGTCCTCTGACAATTCACAGCCCTGTTCAAGTTTACGTTACTTCACAACTAATGATAATAATAACAATAAACATACCATTTTACTTCAATAAAGCCCACTATATATGCAATCACAACCAGCTTCTGCTGGCAGCATTTGCTAATAACTTTAAATGCTCATGCATCAATTTAATTGTGTTAATGGCAAAGAAGATTTTAATGGCTTGACAGAACTTTTGTTCCCTTTGGCATTGCTTTGTTTTGAATCACTGGTATTAAAGTAATGCAAGATGTCAAAGTGCTGTGATTGTCATATAGGGAGATCCAAGTAGGAGCTAGCACAAAGAGGAAAACATTTAGATTGATGCAAACATTAAAAGAATAATTATTACAACATGGCTATCAGAAAGAAGATCAATGTAAGAGTCTTTCAGTACATTACTATTAATGGATTTCTAAAGAAATGAGACCATTTTTCTAAATTCATGCTGCAGTTGCACATTCTAAGAGACTTGAAAGGCACAGATCTATTAGAAACTCAGTCTATCTCAGAAAAAAAAAAGATAAAACAACCTCTCGACCTTTCAAAGTGTGAATCAAAAATTGCAAGTTTAATTGTCCATAAACACTTGCATTCAGCTAACAAGTGTGAGCAGGCCCACATGGCCCACCATGGCATCCAAGCATAGATTCATCAGGACAGAACAAAACGGAGCAGATACAATATTCATCACCAAGTGCTAGCACTACAACAAACTGTTATTAGAATTGCCATTAATAAACTGCCACGTTCCTCCTGTAGCTTAGTCAAGATTCCTCCCGTAGTACTACTTTCCCAATCTAATGAAAATCAAGCATTTTAGGACCCATTATGTGATTCTACACCCCCACACACACCTCCACTCGCCTCTTCAGCTTTCACCAGTAACCAGAGTCTAAAAAGGAGGGCACAGCTTGCCCTTGTGCACGCCTTTGGTGCTTCTCCTCCTTTGTGAGCAGCATGGTCTAACTCAGCTGGAAGGACAGATTCCAGGAGCTTGGTTTCCTCAAGACCAAGTGGTGGCAATTCACATCATGAGCTCTTCTCTTGGCTGGTAGTGCATTCACAAACCCCAGACTGAAAACCAGCGAATGCTACATAAGCTGCAGACAGACGTACTGAGGTAATAAAACTTCAATCAAAGCAAGAAGATTTCACAACAGCTACCTGCTACACTGAACTCATCTTCCAATTTCCTTTTAATCTGGCAAAACTCTTTTGCATCAAAACATTTCATGTTTACTTTTAAATATTGTTTGCTAGAAAAAAAAAAAAGGAAAGGTCTGATGGTCACAATATTCCACCTAAGACAGTATTCTAAGGCTCTCTTTGCTTTTTGGTCTCACAGGAGAGAGAAAAGAGCTTAAATGATGTGGAACCAAAGGTCTAATGCATGGCTTGGGTGGCTCAGTTCTGAACTTTAAAGGGAGGGAAGCAGGGCAGAAATCTAAGAGGGAGGGAATAGTAGTCTATAATGTTATGCAGATCAAATGACATGGGGTAAATTGCTACAATATCTGATGAGTCATGTCAATCTAACCTTCCATTTATTCTTTCAACAGTTCCTTGACCACTCTTACCTCCTGGACAATTTATAACCTGCATGAGATCAGATTTTGTTTTTGTGGCACAGAAAAATCATATAAAGACCCCTTTTCCTGTAATTTACATCCGACAGCAAACATTTCTCAGAAACGTTAGCAACACAATCTTCTGACAGACTTGTCAGAATAGTTCTGAAAATTCAAATGTGGTGCCATAAAGCAGAAATACACAGTGAATAATGTCTTTGCCAGAACTGACCGACTACATTTTCATCTGGATAAGCTGTTCATGAACAGTCCCCCTGGTTTTATTGATGCACGATTGGCATCCAACAAGTAATCTCCTCCTCCTGTCTTTGTTTTATTGAGAAGGTAAGTGTAGCATGTAAAATGAATGTAGGAACCCGCTCTCATTTCTTGCATATGAGCACCTATGTGCTTATACAGCAAGAGCTCAGCTTTCCTTGTCATCTCCTTTATCAAGGAATCCATTTTGACTCTGGGGAGATGAAGTTCGTACTACTGTTTACTCCTTCGAACACAAATTGATTTTTCACTTGCCAGCATGAAAAGATCCTGTGCATGAGCCTTGATTGATCACTTCCAGTGTGCACCACACAGTGATAAGAGGAAAACACTTGGGAAACCAGAAATGGCAAAACTAGGCCAGTCAGCAGAAGCCTTGTCCTCCGAATGCCTTCAGCTCCTGCCAGGCTTCCCATTAACTGGGTGCTTGGTGTTTCTGATTAACACAAGTTTTTTCTGATTAACAAGTGGGAAATGGATCAGGCAGTTTCCAGGTACAAGACATTGGATTAGATGACCTTTGAAACATCTTTCCAACCTACATGAACCTATGATTCCATTTCTGTGATACACTCACTACAAGTCTAAGAACAGCCAATACTGCACCTGTATTTGAATAGAGGATGCGCCCATGCCCTTCCAACACTGGCTTTCCATTGATTGCCATCAGTATTTCCTCACATGCTCAGGCTTCATTTCCCCCCTTCAGTCATTCCCAACATCCCCCTTAGCTGCCACCTGACTACACATTTCTCCTACTGAGCAAGATTGTTCTGCGTT